CCGAAAATGCATTAAAATCACGTATTTTCACAATTCCGGAACCAGATCTCAGTCATGCATGGATGGATTTTGTTCAGATTTAGTACAATGTGTTGTACATATGCAGGTGCATTTCGGTCATGATCTGCTTTGAATGTATATGTCACTCAAATATGAATGGAACGGGGACGTGTCATTGACAATGACTTGTTAATATATATTTCTATGTTTTCTGGGCTAATATAATTGTGGTTAAATAAATGTCCTTTTCAAATGTGGGTTTTATAATAGCAGCTTCTATGTATGACACTACAACCTTTAATAAGGATTGCCATATCGCAAAAGAATTGTTTCAAAATGTGGGTTTGTATTATAAAACGTGATTGTTTTTATGCGAGTACCAGTAGTAGGGAATTTGACAGTGAAATGACATAGTGTCATGATGATGGCTGACAGTGAAATGACATATGTTGACATCAAATCTTCCAGCAAAACATTTAATGTTAAAAAACTCATATATAAATGATCCTATTACAGCATGTCATTAGGAGGAGGGTTTTCTGTTGCCATGAATCGTGCAGTAGAAAGTGCTATTAGCAGTGTAAGTACCTTGCATGTATTCTGGGTGGGGGAGGAGGGGGGGAAACTGTGCAGGAGAGCTGTACTCCACAGCCATCTAATAATTGAAGATTTTGTAAAGCAAACCTGAGGGAAGTAATCATGCAAAAATAAATGTGTAGGTATTATGTATTAGAAAATAATATTAACAATTTAGAAAAAGTTGCACCAAAACTGTGGTTGAAATAAATGTGGTGCTCAAGAAGTATAAAACTCTTGAAGAAAACTTTAATTTCTCAACATATACAACATGTAATTTTCTTTTTGATTTTTGTCATCGGTGTGTAACACTTGTGCTAAATCACTTGAATATTCAGGTTTACTGAAGTTGTAATATTGAATACTAATAGATGTTACTTCCTTTGCAGGGCATTACATTCATTGCTGCGGCTGGCAATGATTACGGAACTGATGCATGTCTGGTTTCACCCGCCAGTGTGGACAAAGTGTAAGTTAATTAGTACACTCCACATGAATCATGAATTGTCATGGAAGTTCAGTCAAGTGTAGAATGCTAACTCAAATTTGATTGGTTGTAAAATTCATTCAACATAAAATGCACTTCTTGAGTAGATTGTTGGATACTGCCTACTCCAAATAAGAATATGATTTTTAGAAGTAATATCACTCGTATCTGATAATAATATTTGTGTCATGTGTGCTAGAACTTTTTTAAAATCATAGCATTTTTTTTTTTCAGGATTACTGTTGGGTGTACAACAAACACTGACCAGTTCTGTGTTTTCTCCAATGCCGGAACATGTGTGAATATACTGGCACCGGTAAATATCATGTGTATCTTGTCAATTTCAGTGTCATTTGGTCAGCATTGTATCATGCATACCTTGGACTTTGAGGAGATGTGCAACAATGCAGCTTTATTTTCTGATTGCTATTGTGAAATATGTGGATCCGTAGCCATTATATGTGGATCCGTAGCCATTATATGTGGATCCGTAGCCATTATATGTGGATCCGTAGCCATTATATGTGGATCCGTAGCCATTATATGTGGATTCGTAGCCATTATATGTGGATCCGTAGCCATTATATGTGGATCCGTAGCCATTATATGTGGATCCGTAGCCAATATATGCCTAATGACATTTTTTGTCATTTATGCATATAACATTCCCACCCAAATGTCACTATATTAGAAAAGATTTTTGTATCACTGTGTATTTCTTACATAGGGTGAGGGTATCACATCCTGTGGTATTGATGGACCCTTTGCTGATATCACTTTATCTGGTGAGTAAATTGTATGCACGTAATCTGGTAGTAAATATATGCAGACATTATCTTCATAATGCACATATACAAGTATACAATAGTAAATACCAAGTACAGATCTAAAATACACGAACAATCATCATTGTGTGCAAGACTCATTTACTGATAGTTAACAAACTGTTAAGGATTAAGGAGTCAAGAATCAAGACCATAGGTGACTATCGTTAGTGTCTGAGTTGTCAAATTACTGTAAAACATGTCTTTTTAGCGAATTTAGCGAGAGAACTAATTCACTAATTCAAGATGTCGCTAATGACTTTATCATAAATTCAAAATGGCCGCCAAACAACGTCTTTTTTCTCCACACACACTTTGTAACAATGCAAAAAAAAATTTTCTTTGTTCTTAGTAATTTTTGAGACCCAATATAAAAAGTCAATATTCTGGATGTAACGCAGCAACGATACCCGCTTTTTCAAATCCCTGTTGAATCAGTTTTTTGTCATTGCAAACAAAATCAAATAACACTTGACATTTTTTCTTTGTTTTATGGAGGTGATAACTGCGCAATTGTTTTGGCGAGCGACAGACAAGTATTGTGAAAACAGGAAATCAACAATGACAAAGATTCGCTAAATCAACATTTCGCTATTACGTCATTTTACCACAATTTGCTAAAATTACATGTCACTTTTTCAACATGTTTTAGTGAGTTAATTTTAGTCGTTTCTTTTTGCAGCCCATCATGAGTTGTTTTGTCACTTGTATGTGCATTTCATAGCTCCTCTTTTATAACAATGGGGACAATGGGTCAAAAACTGAATGAAAACTGTTATTGAATGTTAGCACACTGTTAGCACAAAGTAGTACAATATTACATAAAGTTTACAAAGGCTTATTCGAATTCCGAAAGTCTAGTTATTGTATAGGCAATGTTGCCATGGATACTATATGTAAAACCAAGTGAATCTTTCCATTCACACCAACATATTGTTATTTTCTCTAGGAACGTCCATGTCCAGCCCTCATGTGGTGAGTAAATATTTAGCTTTGGTGTTTCTAGCTTATGTTGTTGATGTTGTTAACTATTTGTTTGATTTTACCATGCTTATCTTTTGCTTAATGTTTCATTAGGCTGGTGTGGCTGCCAAGTACATCAGCTCGTTGAAGTCAACACCTACTCCAGCTGAAGTGAAAAAGTGGTTGGATATGAAGTAAGTCACATACCATGATATCTCATCTCATCTCATCACATCTATCCTCTTCATGTCTTCTGGCACATAAGGCCATATGATATGATATTGCTGTAAACCTCAAGCGAGTATGTTGGTTTCCATGGTATTATATTAACTGTGATATCTGAATTTCTTGGAAAGATAATTATGTAAATTTTTCTGACTTTTATCATTTTTATCATTAATTAACCCTAATAGGCAAGTTAAATAATACTCCATGTATATTGCCACCTGAGCTATTAATACATGGATATCTAATATTGTTTTGTTTTACTTCATTGTGTGTGTAGAAATGAGAAATATACTGTAAAACATGTTAAAAATGCGAATTGTGGCAAATTACGTAATAGCGAAATATTGATTTAGCGAATCTTTGTCATTGTTGATTTCCTGTTTTCACAATACTTGTCTGTCGCACACTAAAACAAATGCGCCTTTATCCCCTCTAGAAAACAATGAAAAACTGTCAAGTGTAATTAGATTCTGTTCGCAATGATAAAACACTGATTCAACAGGGATTTGAAAAGGCGGGTATCATTACATCCAGAACATTGACCTTTTGTATTGGGACTTAAAAATTACTAAGTACTACTAATATATCAGTATCACTTAATTTATTTTCATTGAAATAATGACCACAATAAATAATACATTTATTTTTTTGTGACGATTTACTTTTCAATGAAGTATATCTATCATGTCAGTACGTTTTTTTGTGTGTTGTTTACAAAGTGTGTGTGTAGAAAAAAGACGTTGCTTGGCGTCCATTTTGAATTTATAAAAAAGTCATTAGCGATATCTTGAGTCAGCGAATCAGTTCTCTCACTAAATTAGTGAAAAAGACATGTTTTATAGTAGTTTCCATAGTTTATAAACATTTGATGATGATGAGAATCACTGTTGTTCAAACAAGGTAAGCAAAGAGAAAACCTTGACAACCAGAAAACCTTGACGTCTTCACTTATACCATAATTTATGATTTGTATTACAGTGCTACCAAGGACAAGATTACAGAAATACCTGCTGATACTCCAAACAAACTCTTATTCATGGATTGTTCCTAAGTCAAGCTCTATCACGTCCTGTTGTCTATTAATCTACTCAAGTCCAAATTCATATGTGGCACAGTTGTTGTCTATTAATCTACTCAAGTTAAAATTTCAATGTAACACAATCATTGTTCTACTCAAGTCAAAATTCACATGACCAGCACATTTTTTTAATACATTTTTGTTGTTTTATGTGTTTATGATTAATTTTTTTCATACAATTATTTCCAGTGTAGCTGGGCTAAAGGAATGTTGGTTTGTTTTACTTTACTCCACTATATGCTTGGCAGGTTTTAGTACATAAATATTTTTTTTTTTTAGAAATATTTTATCTTGTTGACATTTTGCCGTATTTGAGGATGTGTTGAGAATGGAAAGAAATAAAATCAAATGACTCCCAAGTCCCAAGTTATTTATTAAAAGTCATTTCTC